GCTTGAAATTCTTAGTTCAATTCCAGGTGATTCACTTTAAAAGAACATTGTTAAATTGGAGTTCACTGAAAGGAGAGTTGGCATTATGCAGAATGAAAATAGCGTGTAGAATATTATTCCTGGGATTTAGTGTCTCTGCCCAGTTAGACAATGTGAGCATTTTTTTATTTTATTTAATTTTTTAATGATTTTTTAAAATAGTGTTTGAAGAATCTCTGGTAAGGGATTTTGAATATCTGTCCTGTTCTATAGCTTTTTGGGAAATGAATGAAAAGATTTGGTGTAAACTGTTGAAGTCTTTGCCTCCGCTAATTAATTGCATCAATACCACAATATTTATTAAAAAGTAGGAAAACTGAGGCCCAACAAGGTGGCCTTCCAGGGTCATACTTGGAGATCCTCTTAATAAATAAATATTTAGATTATGATTTTATATTTTGCTAAGAAACTTTTAATCTCCTTACTATAATAGATTGGCAAAAGCCTTTTATTCCCTATAATCTCAGTTTTCCCACCTGTAAAATCAGACACTTGAACTGGGTGGACTCTGAGTTCTTTTAACTCTAACAGCCTTTGGGTAGTTACACTGTAATTCAGCAGCATTTTTTCTGTTCTTGGTGTTTCCCATTGACAGCCTCTCTTTTCTCTTAACAGGCTAGAAAATGTTGGAGAAAGTAAAAATGTCCTTAATGACATGCAACATGAAAGGGAAGATGAAGATGGCCTTTTTACACTCTAACATGCTACTTTTTCTACGACTGAGGACGGGGGCATGACACTTGGAGTGTCAGAATAAGTCTGGCAATATTTTAGTTTTTATATTTAAAAAAAAATTTCACCTATTCCATTGGTGTCATTGATCCAGTCTTGCTTTTGGTTTCACAAACTCAAGTTCCTTTAGAGACCACACCTTCTCTGCCTCATGCTTTAATCATCTCTGTAGAATTGTTGCTAAGTGATCTTTCACACTGTCCTTGAACTCTTTTAGTGGAGGAGAACTTGCTCCCATACCCAATCGAGACCATTCATCTCAGGGCAGTTCTGAGATGAAGAAATATTTAAGACAAAATCTGTCTTCAGATAGCGTCTGCCTGTTGGTCCTAGCTGAACNCACTACCCTCGTTGCCTTCATTTCGCATGTGTGTTTCTCTTTTATGTGCAGCTTTCTGAGTTCATTCATTAATAATACAAGGAAGGACGCAAGATCACACCATAATTTTGACTCACTTCCAAAACTCCTACATTTTCTATTATTTTCTTTTAACAATTGAGTATATTTAGAGGTGACCTTAGTGTCACATCTTAATTCCTGTTTGGAATTTTGGAAGTAATTTTGGAAACAGCTAAGAGTTCATAGGAACAAAATGTGAATGACAAGGACAATCAACCAGGGACAGTACATTGGTGTGACAGTAAGACACTCCAGTAAGTTTCTGTAAATATAATTCATGATAATATGCTCCTCAATTGGAACAGGTTTATTTTAAAACTTTAATATCTACCAGCATGAGGAGCCCTGGGAGACAGATCAAAGCAAACAGTTATTGAATGAATGAATAAAAAAAAAAAAATGTGCCTGAGTGAGAGAGCTTCTGGCTGGGTAGAAATGTAGAAAGTAATCCAGCTCTGAAAGACATTTCTCTGAAGAAATGACTCCTGGCATGTTTAGGGTAATAGCAGCATTTATGGAACAAGTGCACGGTGCTCCCAGGTAACCATNCTGGGAGACAGAGCAAAGCAAACAGTTATTGAATGAATGAATAAAAAAAAAAAAAATGTGCCTGAGTGAGAGAGCTTCTGGCTGGGTAGAAATGTAGAAAGTAATCCAGCTCTGAAAGACATTTCTCTGAAGAAATGACTCCTGGCATGTTTAGGGTAATAGCAGCATTTATGGAACAAGTGCACGGTGCTCCCAGGTAACCATCGGTGGATTTCTACTGTCTTGATGTTACCTTTAAGAGAGAAAAAAATCAGTGTCTTTACTTGACTGGTGCAGCCTACAGATTTCTTGCCCTGTTAGTTCACATAACACTGATTCAGCATTTAATAAAAATCCCTCTGACCTGGGCCCTTGGAAAACAGCTGGCGCAGAGCAGCCTGCTTTCTGGCTCATTCTGTCGAGCAGAGTAGCAGGTTTGGCCCAAATGATGGAAACAACTAGCAGCAGATTGGTGGTTTTTACTTTTTTTTTTTTTTGGCGTGATTTGTCCTGATGTTAGCTTAAATACTTTAAATACTGATAATCACTCTGACTAGTGTACTAAACTCAAACAGTTATTTAGAAACTGAGGGGGGAGTCAATCTAGAGTCAGGTTCAGGGCCTCAATTTCCACATCTGGAAAATGG